CGAAACAAGACATTTCTGCACACATTCTTATTCCAGGAATTTGGTTTTAGTACTGGATCCAGAGCTTGTAAACAAATCCGCACACAAACCTATTCTCATTTCCCCTTGCACTTTCTTTTCTTTACTTTTTGCAAGCTAATTTATGTTAAGTAGGAAGGATACTCTTTGTTAAATGATCAGAGGTTAGAAACTTCCCCCAGTGTATTGATTTATTCTATGTATTGACATGTATTACATATCTATGCAGGCCAAGAGCTGCTGGAATTCTACCAGTACATTCTACTGGGGAGCTGGAAATCTACCAATAATTTCTGAACTATCTCCTGTCCAACCCTGTAATCTCATTGCAGAAACAAAACAAAACAAAACCAGACATGGAGGGAGGGAGGGAGATGGACAAAAAGCATATTTCCTTAAACCCTTAAATTCATTTTTTAAAAACCCTCTAAGGGAAATTATGAGTGATATATTCCAAATCTCAGTCTTTGCTTTGCTAAACATCCAATACATATTTATTCCATCACTTTCTAGCAGTTCTCGGTTTAAAAGCCTTGTTAAACCATCATAAATCATGGTTGGTGAACAACAACACATCTAGTAGAATTTTGTAGAATTCGGGGCCCAAACAGGCCCCAAAATCTCTCCAGAAGGATAAGTCTAAGGCCTCATCTGTGATGTGCCTGTATGGGCTGGGACCTCATGGCCATCCAGAAGAAGAAAATAAAACACACCAAAAGCTAGCACAATAATAATAATTTAAAAAGTTATAGTCCAGCTTTCCCCAACATCTTTTATGTTTGTCAATCCCATGAGCTCCTAGCTAAAGTATGGAATGATCAACGTCTAAGACACGTTGACTCTCTCAGTGAAAATGATTTTCCTGGTTCAAATCTAGTTTAATCAGGGGCACCTGTGGGGAGGTTCCCAGTTATCTGACTGGGTCTAACACCACGCGACTCCTTCCCCTGATGCTGGACGCCAGTCGCATTGTACAAGATCAGTGGTCTCCAACCTTGGGCCTCCAGATGTTCTCCGATCTAGTTTAATCAGGGGGCACCTGTGGGGTGTTCCCAGTTATCTGATTGGGTCTAACACCACATGACTCCTTCCCCTGATGCTGGACGCCAATCTCATTGTACTAGATGATCAGTTCCAAGACGCCATGCTTATTTCCCACAATGCCCTGGACTGAAGGTATGCCAAGGGCATTGTGAGAAATGTAAATGGCAGCTCCGACCCAGCAGGTCACTGCTAATCGTCACAGTGGTACTGCTGTTGCTGTCAACCCTCTCGCACCATGTCACTTGATGCCCAGCAACACAAGGGGGGCCCCAACAGAGAAGAGTGCCCCCCTCCCCATTGGAGCCAGCCTTGTCCTTGTTGCAGGATTATAACGAGGGCAGGGCAACTGGGACTTGGTCCCAAAAATCAGTGGTGAAGCTACAGGTTAATGCAGGAGTTCCCAAACTTTTTACAACTCAAGGATCCCTTGATGTCCTGGGCACTGTCAGCAGCTCTCCCCAATGTAGGGAGAGGAGAAAACTGGCCTGAGTAATACTTCAGTTAATTCTGATTCCACGGCACCCCTGGCTGGGTTTGGTGGCACCCCTGGCTGGGTTTGCTAGCACCCCTGGCTGGGTTTGGTGGCACCCCGACTGGGTTTGGTAGCCCCCCTGGCTGGGTTTGGTAGCACCCCCGGCTGGGTTTGGTGGCACCCCTGACTGGGTTTGGTAGCACCCCTGGCTGGGTTTGGTGGCATCCCTGGCTGGGTTTGGTAGCACCCCAGGGCACCACAACATACAGTTTGGGAATCACTGGGTTGACTTTAGGACAGTAAATGGCAGCACCTTCTCAGCACTGGGTTGATGTTAGGACAGTAAATGGCAGCACCTTCTCAGGGTGGAGTGGGTGGAAGACGGAGCCATCTGGATGTCAAAATTGCTAGTTAAAGCTCTGCCATGTTCCAGGCTCACGGTACTGACTGTGTATCTGCCCAGGTTGTTTGTTATATACACACAGCTTCTGGATGGCACTGACCATCCCTTGAGACAAAAGTATTCCCACAGCATCTGGCTCCTCTCCTTTTGTTCTTGGCCTGTGTTGCAAGACTTAAGATAGAGGTCTGTTTTAATTGGAAACCTTTCCGGAGGCATCACTCCTAAATAGATTAAGCTCCTTGGATTATGAGGAGGGTTGAGTGTGGGGCTCCGGATGATTGATGAAGTTGCAGAAGGCATGGAGGAAAGGGAAAGGAAGAAGACCATTAAATGATCATCATGGCTTTCTCTGCAATATAGAAACAATCCAGCCAAGGTGCATGAGGGAGTTGAGATTTAGCCATGACCTGGAGTGAGAATGTTTGATTTCTTCTAACCAGTGGTGAGTTATGTATTGTCAATGGGTACTTCATCAGTCTGCTTCATCTCCATAGCTTTTGGCAAGCTGTGGTCTCTTGTAAGCTTTACCTCCTGCACCCTTTGACTTCAAAAAACTGCTACAAGTCTCTGAAAAGACCAGAATGTGTTAGAGACAGAGATCCTTTCCAAGCATCACATGGGTTATATGAGTGGATGGTACATTCAACAACACATTTGAGGGTGTTTCCAGATGGATACCTGGTGAGTGACACAAAAACAGCGTGCTGATCTTGGTATCACTCATCACGTCGCAGCTTCTCTCCATCCCAGGACCTTGGAATCTTGTGGCACAGTGGTTCAACTGCAGTACTGCAGCTAAAACTGCTCGCTACCTGAGTTAGATGCCTCAGGTACCTGGTTCAAGGTTGACTCAACCTTCCATCCTTCTGAAGTTAGTAAATTAAGTACCTAGCTTACCAGGGAAGACTGTTAAAGTGTCATAATTAAATAAAGCAAACCTCTTTAAGCAATATGGGAAGATATAGGATGGAAGTGTCAAAGTGTCATAATTAAATTAAGTAAACCTCTTTAAGCAATATGGGAAGATATATAAGCAGCACACTTTGCTTTGCTGTGGAGGGGAACAATCTTCTATTCTTCCCAGCTGTTTTTGTTACAAGGAGATTAGGCTATAAAAACCATTGCTTGCCAAGGTCTAGGGGTACCACATCTGTCATGGTGGTGGAGAGCCATTATCATCCCTGTAGAACCTGGCCTTTGGACGGAGGAGGGCACCCACCTGTCTCCTTTTGCTATATTGCATCATGTTGCATCCCTATCAACCCGTTGATATAATCAACCTTCTATTGCGTCCATGGCTATCCATCTTCATCAGGAGCCAGAGAACATAAGTTCATGAGGTTCTGGCTGGCACCAAATCTCCATCCAGCACAGCAGCAATTCCATTTTTCTTTCCTGAAAACTACTTTTGGGCCATGAGTTAGCTGGAACAAAGATGGAAGAGAGAGGGGGGGAAAAACATGGAAGAGTTACATATTGAATATGGTATCCCCAGGATCAGAGACGGGACCCTAAGTTCTCCAAGCTCTGATCACGAGTACCTGGTCCCTTGAGGGCAGAGTTTCCCTGGACACTTAAAAAGCACCTTCTCTCATCAATTCCTCCAATGCTAGCAGGAGAACTAGCAGAACGTCTTTTTAACCTGAACGGGAGCTTTCAGGGTGACCTTCAAAGTGGAGGTGGGATCAGAGGCATCAGCTGGTGTGTCCTTTCCACTGTGTACAACTCCTGAACGGTCCCTCCTCCTGGGTGCCTGGGCCACCGTGTTGCAAATGGCACCTTTTAGCTTCTTGAAATAGGACTTAAGAGGTGGGGGGTGGGTGCGAAACATCAACCAGGCTGCAGATAGAGATTATTTCCAATGGGGGGAGGGGAAATGTACATTAAGCAGTTATTGATCGCACTAGAGGTTCCTTTCTCGAAGTAATTTGACCCAAGAGGTTAATTGTGCTGGAGATCAGTAGAACACTGAACCACGCCGTGCGTCACAATCCCAAAGGGAATGAAGAGCAGAATTTCGGCGGGATGTTTAGTGTTCGTGACACACAGGAAATTTGGGCAGATTGTTAGAAAAATGTTTCTGAGGACTCTAGTTGTTTGGGTTCTTTGTTCACCAATCATCTGATGGTTGTTTTTCTTTCTGGGCGTCTCAATCTGCACATCTATATTTTTAATCAGAGCTTGGGGTGTCATTGTTGAAAGGGAAATTCTTTTGTTGCCCCTTAATTCTCCAAATGGAGGTGGTTGTTCTCGCTACTTTTTTTTTCCCAATCCTGCCCCAACAGCTGGGGGGCAGGGGGGGGAGGGAAGCACGGAAATATCCTCTGGTTCCCTTGAGTGATTAATCCTGCTATTGTCTGTTGCAAATATTTACTAAAATAGAACAGATAAAATCAAAGAACCCTTCCCTTGATATGTAGGATTCATTGAGGAAGGGCATGGAACCTGAGATACGTCTTTCAAAAAAAAAAAAAAGTTAAAATGTCATTTAAAAGTATATCTTGAAAGCAAGTAGACAACATGGCGTATTACAAATCTAAGTGACTTTATAAATACTTATAGTACTTTCACTATAACTACTCATTACATTACTTTTAACTAGTTATTTCCAGGCTCTGTTTTTTAAATAATTTTACAAACCAATTCTGTGCCTTACGCTTTGATTTTGCTTAACGGAGGAAACCAGGTAACAAACCTGTAGAGAACAGAGGCTCTACTAATCAACCATTTGTTGTTGTTTAGTCGTTAAGTTGTGTCTGACTCTTTGTGACCCCATGGACCAGAGCACGCCAGGCCCTCCTATCTTCCACTGCCTCCCAGAGTTGTGTCAAATTCATGCTGGTCGCTTCGACAACACTGTCCATCCATCTCGTCCTCTGTTGCCCCCTTCTCCTCTTGCCTTCACACTTTCCCAACATCAAGGGCTTTTCCAGGGAGTCTTCTCTTCTCATGAGAAATCAGCCACTAGCATATGGCAAACTCTTCTTTTATATTACCTTCCTTTGGGGTTCTTTTAAAATGAGTTGTTTATTGTTGAGTCTTGTCATTCCCTTTTCTCTTCAGGACAGCGAGCTCTTGACCTTCAACATCTCCCGACATCAGTCATGGTGGAGTGAGAATGGTCCTGGCTGTGTCAGAAAAGAGACCCCCATGGCTGGCCTCAAGGGCCTGGACAGCCATTCCTACGTTTCTGTGATTGGTTGCGCTTTGGAGTATCGCTACATCGAAGTGATGCATAGTGCGTTGCAGATTCTGGTGGCGGTGAGTACGATGGGATGGAGCGGGACGATATTTTGATTTTGAACGGTTTAGGGCCTCAATATTTGGCGGAACGCCTTCTACCACCATGATCTACCCGTGTCACTCGCGCGAGCTAGGAGGTGAGGCTGAGGAGCCTAACGCCGGGGGAGGCCCGGAAAGAAAAGACAAGAAATCGGGCCTTCTCGGCGGTGGCTCCTCGCCTCTGGAATAACCTTCCCCCTGATATTCGCGCGGCCCCCTCGCTGGGTATTTTCAAAAAGCAACTAAAAACACTGATGTTTCGGCAGGCCTCAATCAATCAATCAATCAATCAATCAATCAATCAATCAATAAATAAATAAATAAAATTTTTTCTTCACCACAAGGACCCACGTTTCATGGTGGATCCCAAACATGTTCCTTTCTCTCACATTCCACTGCCATGTTTTTTTCTTGTATTGTGCTTGCTGTCTTTTGTGAACATTCCCCATTGGTTATGTGATGTGCATCAGTCCAGTGGTGTCTGCCTGTAACATACCAGCACCTTGCCAGTCTGCCTTTTATAGAGGAAAGGAAGGCAATAAAATCCAGTTCCTCTTTCCAGTTTCTTTTCTTCACTAACCAACTGCAGGATAGCTCAGTGGCTTAGGCATCTGGCGGTAGAGCCAGACGTCGGGTGTTCAATTCCCCACCATGCCTCCTTGAGAGGGGCTGGACTTGATGGTCCATAGGGCCCCTTCCAGCTCCTCAGACCCAAGATAATCATATTATTAGTAACAGGCAACAAGCTAAGCAGGAATCAACTACGCGATGTAGTGTCAAAGAGAAAGAAAGAAAAACAAGCCAGTGTAATTCTAGCCTACATCAATAGATGTATAATGTCTGGAAAGGTGGATTGGGTCCAGAAGAGGACCACCGAGACAGTACAGGTCCTCCAGGGAATGTCAAACCACTCATACTATCAGAAATTTCTTCATAATGTTTAACTGAATTCCCCTTTCCTATAATTTAAATTACTGTAGTTGCTTAGGGTCCCTTTGGCTAGCCGAAAACAAGTTTGTTCCTTCAAGTATGTAATACAGTGGTGCCTCGCATAGCGACGATAATCCGTTCCAAAAAAATCATCGCTATCTGGAATCGACGCTATGCGGGACTAAAAAGCCCATAGGAACGCATTAAAACACGTTTAATGCATTCCTATGGGGGAAAAACTCACCGCTATACGGAAATCCTCCATACGGCCACCATTTTCGCCGCCCAGTATGTGAGGAAACCGCATGAAAACACTGCAGGCAGCCATTTTATTTACCCGGTGGACATTTTTGAACCGCCGATCAGCTGTTTTAAAAACATCGCAATGCAAAGATCGGTAAGCGAAACTCTTACCGATCATCGCAAAGCGATTTTTGGCCACTTAAAACATCGCAATGCGATTGCTTTTGCGATCACAAAACCCACATCGCTATGTGGATTCGTCGTTAAACGGGGTGCTCGCTATGCGGGGCACGACTGTAACTCTGCAAATATCTGGAGATGGTTATCAAATCACATCTCAATTATCATTTTTCTTTTTCAAACTAAATCTCTGTTCCTTGCAATGTTGAGAAAGGTACTTGTTTCCAAGTAACGCTCACAGACACATAACAAGGCTCAGGCTAATGTTTTGGAAGCATTTCGTGACGATACCTATAATTTTTAAAAAAGAACTTTGAAATGAATTGCGAAATGACTGTGATTTAAATATTTATAGATGAGCACCAGGGAGCCGAAGCTGGAGGATGGGAGAGAAAACCCAATTAAGCAAAGTCCATGACTGTTTTCCCCAAGGATATGATAATAATACACCCCATCAGAAAACAATGCTATATTGACAGACCCCCTGCTTCTCTTCCTGCAGACATTAGCAGTGTGCACAAAAGTTGCCATCACACGTCACTGCATCTGTGTTTATCCATACTTTAAATTATTTATTTATTTTTCATTAAAATGCCATGGTAATTGGTCCTGCCCAGTAATGGATTGTTTCTGATTTGCTGTGGAATTAACAGAAACAAAAAGTGTATTGTCTTCATAAATGCCACTGATACAGCGCAGTTATAGCATCTCATGGACCAAAAGCTGTTATCTTCAGATCTGCTTTGTTTTGCTTTGCAAAGATGGTTCCTATAATACACAGCCACAGGGGGAAATGTAATATGCATTGACAGCTATCGTAGACGTTTCTCAACTACCAAGGGAAATTCACCACCAAGCCTACGGCTGTGTTATAGTTCCCTTTGTGAATATTTCTCCAGTGATATCTGAGACTCTGTGCATACTGTGGGTTGGGGAAAAATCTGATTTCATATATAAAAGGAATGCTCACACATCTTCACTATCAGTGTGCGCCATCACTAAAACAATACCCACCATTGTAGACTCATTGTTTTCAACTTTAAATATTATCTTGCATTGTTGTAAGCCGCCTTGGGTGAGGTAAAAACAAACAAATAAATAAATACCCACCTACAACCCCTTACACTGCATTTGGGATTGTATTTAATCTGTGAAAAGAGACTCATTTTTTTCTTCTTTTGGAAAGTGCTTCCTTTCCACTGCTGGTTAAACATGGCCACTGCTAAGAGTTGGCTTTGCACTTTCCATATAAATGGAAAAGAATCCTTCTGGTGAAACATACAGTCTTTTTACTTTGGTAACCCCAGTGTCCATGGTATAATGTCTCGGGTTCACTTTCTCCTGATCAGGAGGAGCCCAAGATAGGTGATGAGCGCCATTCTCCTGTGCTAAAGTTAAAGAGTTTCTGAATAGTCAGTTCGTAAGGCTCTCTATTGGGAAGACAGACTCCCAAATGGAGATGGGGCTGGATGAGACATTCATAGTCCTGCTGTCGGAGAGGAGAAGAGTCTTTTTTTTCATTTCCTGCAGATGGGGTTTGAAGAAAGCCCTCAAGGGGAAGACTGGGAAACAGGGCTGACTTTAATCAGATTTTGTGTGAAAATGGTTGACCAGGCTTCACAGCCACAGTCTCTGAGGGTTAACATCAGCCTCATCTGTTTTCTTAATCTGGTTTAAACGTGAATTTTAGCAGTGAGACGTACCAGTTATTTTGGATGTTGCAGTATTGATCCTGCTGCCCTCAGTAGTAAAAAAACAAAACAAAAACAGAGAGACAACACAATGGATATGACCTGTTTCTCTCCTCCTCTTCTAGGTTTCTGTAAGAGGGGGAAGCTCAGAGCTAATTGCAAGATTCTCTCTCTCTCTCTCTCTCTCTCTCTGCATGTGTGTGTGTGTGTGTGTTTGAAGCTCTTTTTGTCGTTAACATAAAAACGGGTTGATGCATTACATCAAGCAGAGAAAGCATCCATACAAGCATATGTGTTTTCCTTGCTTTGCATTTCACCTTCCCTTATGAATGGCCAACTCCAGTTCAAGGTTCATAAAGCTCTGCCTCTCAGGCATGAGTAGGGCAGCAGCCATAGATGTCCCTCAAGTGATAATTAGAGCCAACCATTCTGTTGTTTAGTTGTTTAGTCATGTCTGACTCTTTGTGACCCCATGGACCAGAGCACGCCAGGCCCTCTTGTCTTCTACTGCCTCCCGGAGTTGGGTCAAATTCATGTTGGTCACTTCAATGACACTGTCCAACCATCTCGTCCACTGTCGTCTCCTTCTCCTCTTGCCTTCACACTTTCTCAACATCAGGGTCTTTTCCAGGGAGTCTTCTCTTCTCATGAGATGGCCAAAGTACTGGAGCCTCAGCTTCAGGATCTGTCCTTCCAGTGAGCTGTTGTTATACTGTATATTAAAGGTTTTGAAGGCAGCTTGTTTAGTGCTTAGAGTTTAGAGTAGGCTATCTGTCTCACTGAGTGAGTTTGCAAAACTTCTTAACTGTTAGAGCAGTATGACAATGGAACCAATTACAGCATCTTGGCAGTTGGTGAGCACTCCAACGCTGGAGGCCTTCAAGAGAAAAATAAACAACCATCGATCAGATCTGCTTTCATTTGAATTCCTGCATCAAGCAGGCGGGGTTGGACTCGATGGCCTGATAGGCTCCTTCCAGCTCCGCAATCCCATGATTCTGTGAGTCTGTCCTCTCCTATAGAAAGTAAGAATCCCGTGACACTTTTATGTCAGTGTAATGCAATAGGCATAAAGCTTACTCTCATTACAAGGTTCCTTAATTCCTCTTCACTTTCTGCCATCAGAGTGGTATCATCTGCATTTCGGAGGTTGTTGATATTTCTTCCAGCAATCTTGATTCCAGTTTGGGATTCCTCCAGTCCAGCCTTCCGCATGATATATTCTGCATATAAGTTAAATAAGCTGGGGGACAATATACAGCCTTGTCGAACTCCTTTCCCAATTTTGAACCAGTCAGTTTTTCCATATCCAGTTCTAACTGTTGCTTCCTGTCCCACGTATAGATTTCTCAGGAGATAGATAGTTCTTTAAGCAAGCTACGTGAACAATGAGATTCCAGCCAGTGATCAAGATAATGATGGGGATGAGGATCATGGTAAGATTTCACATCATAAACCTTGGAAAGAGGGGGAGTTTCAAAGGCAGCTTATCAGGTTCATGTGGCCTACTTTTAAGGAAGCTAAAACAGGCCTGGACCTTTATAGTTCTATAGTATTTTCTCTTTCCTTTCCTTTTTTCCTCCTGCTGGCAGGAGCAATATTTCACAGGACATAACAAAATATTCATAGAGTATGCATTATAGTAAATGAGGCTGCAGTCCGCAAAGGCTTGAGTCAGATAAAATTGATTAGAATTGAACGTGCCAGGATGGCACTGTGTATAACAAAACAGAATCACCTCCATCATCCCTCTGCACTGAAGGAAATTAATGGCTGAGTTTCATGTCTAGTTGGGCATATAGAAAAAGCAAGTTGATAATGAGTTGTTGGTAGAAACGGGAAAGCTTTTAGTTTCTCTTTCTCTCTCTCTGATACCAAGAAAAACCAACGTTTGCAAATGTTGGTAGGAGCAAGAGAGGTAGAACTTGAGTTTTG